GACGGTTGCATTTCACCACTTTGCCAATGACCGCGTCAATGAGGAGTGGTTCCTTGGTTCCATGACCGCCGCCCCGACATCCATTTTGAGCGCGCGACATCACCTGACTTGAGTCCAGGTGACGAGTGATTCTCGCGCTCAAAATGGATCTTAGTGTCTTGAACATAGTCGGTAGACACGTGATGGGGCGGTATTTTCTCGGGTCTGTGGCACCCTGATCTTTAGGAACCAAATGAGTGATCCCAGTAGTGAAGAGGCTTGGGAGCGACTTCTGGTTGAGAGCCTCTTGAAACTGTCGGGCAATCACAGCGTGACACACCATGAACCCCTTCAGCCAGTAGTGATGCAGCCCGTCAAGCCCCGGACTTTTCAGTTCGGGACCCTACGGACCGCCTCAGCTACGTCATCCGGCGTTATGGTGACGGGATCCATGGGCGTAATACCCGCACACTGACTCACCACAACTTCCGTCCAAGGGCCCTCGTTGTGGTTTACGGGCTCTGACCACAGGCTGCGCCAGAATGCGACCGTGTCGGCCTGATTTGGTGCTGGGCCCGTTCCACTTATGTACTATTGGTCGCTCCAATGATTTGCAGAGCCTCTTCTGATCACTCTGGAAGAGACGATTCTGGTTGAACCGTGTCGACCTCTCGGTATATCGCCGAATCCGCTTTCCTCAAGCAGCGATTCTTTGCTTCAGGTCGTCTATGTGCTCCGTCAGATTTTGCGTTATAATATAAACTAACATTTGTCCCAGCAAACGCCATCCTGATGGTGCGCACAATCCTTGACCTGGTATTGCCCGACCTGAAGCATATCAGTCTGCCGATGAGGGCCCTAGCCCTTGCGATACGTTCTTCAATTATTATTCTCCGGGCTGGGATAGCACTACTTTGTCCAGTAGCGCGTCCAGCCGTGGAAAGTTTGGCTCCTATAATACGGCAGACTGCCAGTGCGGCGCCAAAAAGAATTGAGTCCGTCTCGCAAAGATCCCGGCTGGCTTCCAAGTAGGTAACCAGCATTGGGTTCAGAGCCCTCACGACAGCCCGATTTCGCTTGCTTAGGGCTAAGCGGGGAAGTCGCGGTCGATTTTCGAGAGGCGTACTGCGCGTTTCCACAATCGCCTCCTCCAATGTACTCCTCATTTGCTCTAGTTCCAGTTCCTGGGCGACTGTTCCGTCATCGTTTGAATCAACCACAACTGGCGTATTCACGGCGGCATCCACATTTGCCGTTTGCTCAGCAAGTTGTGGCGCCGCATCCTCAGCCGCAGTATTATCACCCGATGAAGGAACAGCCTCACGTCGTAGCCGTTCGAGTTCGGTGATATCAAATGTATTTGAGCGCAAGATATACCGAACTCGGTGTGCCAGGTTTTGCTCGGTGACGGTTACAGATGGCTCCAGCTCAGCAAAAAAGTCGATGCATCCTTGCCCGAAACGCAAAACCTCCATTTTCTCCCCCCTTTCACCCTAAAATACGCCCGCAATGCGTTGCTGTTCATCTGGGTTGTTCAACGCATGCGGCGTACTCCACCGGCGGGTGCCGATTGCTGGGCCCGCGAAGACCATGCCGACACCAAACCAGCTGGTGGGGATGATGGATGCGAGGGGCTGCTGGGTGGTCATGCGGCACTTCGCGCTCGGCTGGCGGTTCGCATGCTGTCGCGTCCAGTGCCAGCTCCAGACGCGCCCTGGTGACCTCCAGGCAGCGGCCCTTTGCGCGTTCTGCCGTATTCCGTCATCCATAGTGGTGGGCGTCATTTAGCGGGAGACGCCCAAACCCGGCGCCGTTTCATGGTGAGGCCATGTGCACAAGCGAGCCTTTGCACCTTCAATTTTTGCCGAGGCACAGCACTAACACCTCTCGGCAAGGTGCTGACTGACTGCGCTGACGTACCGGTTTTGTCACATAACCGTTACGTCAGCGGGCGATGGGGTCGTCACTTCCCTACGCCTTTTTATTATTATTATTATCAATTGTTTTTCTCTTATTTACAAGACGTGGGCTCACAAAAGAAAACATGGAATGCTTAGTTGCCCTTTTAAATCAATCGCCATCACCTCGATATTTGTAATACTAATCTTGGGACCAAAACGAAACGCATTTGATGCCAACAAAAGTTTTTGTGAAGATTTCATCGACCGCAATTGCAAACTACTGCTCAAGTGTAATCTTGGAGGTTTAGCAGGTTTTTTTTAAATTGGTCTTCAAAACGCCGTAATAACCGTGAAGGTGCGTTCGTGAGATAAATACTTCTATGTATACTGTTATACCGTAGATTCAGAATAAAAACTCTGTCACAGCTGTGAGCTTGGGTGGTATGCTAGCGCGGTAAATATGTTGCATTTTTATTTATGAAATTTACTGTCTTCAGGCAAATACGAAGTAAAGTTACAAACTTATCTGAAATAATCTTCAAATGGCACATGACAATGTACTTTTCGAAGATTATTGAAAAGTGATTGAAATATAAGTGATGGTAATGAAAGATTATTAAGAAGTGCGCACTTGACACACAAATAATAACAGCTGTTTACTTAGTCACATTAAACAAAATCAGTGTTAGATTGTCGAAAAAAACGTTCGTGGTTGCAAAACAAAGAACTAGTCTTCTTGCCTAAAGGACTAAAGGACAAAGGAGGCAGTTGACTAAAGGAGTTAAGGAAAATTAATCGTAATTTATAATATATAACCCGTCTAGCAACATACATGGAAGTATTTTTATTTAAGTATTGTCACAGCGGTGACACTCCCTGTACGTGAGAGCTTAAGTGCCGGTGACCTTGAGTCGAAGCGTGTAACGCTAGGGTTGATATCAAACCGAAATGGAATATTATAGACTTGTACCAAAGAAGATACATAGTAGGTATATGTTATATATTATGTAAACTTATGTATTCGGGTAGTGAAAGATACGTTCAATTTTAAATCAACTTTTATTATATGAGGAATATTAAAACTTCCGCCAAAACCAAATATGCACGACAGTTAATGGTAATCTTAAATAATTAACCAACACTTATATCAGTACGCAATAATCAGTATTACCTACTACCCTTTAAAAATAATTTACTCTTATATATTTTTGAATTTTTCGATAAATTTTTAATTTTCATTATTATTTCTAACAATTGCAAAAATTCGTAGCATGTATATATTTTTTTTAGAAAATCCAAAGGTATGCAAGTTTCCTGGGACATGGCGGCCAACAAATTGTTCCCTATGTGTTGAGGAGATAAGTCATTTCTATTTCTAATGAAATAATCCATGAATACAACAATGAACAAATATAAAAACTCTTTATAAATATCTAAAATTTCTTGACTCTAGTCGTATTTTAATAGTGTATTTTTCAGTTAATGTAATATAATAAAATTATTGGCGATATATTAGTTTTATTGTCATGTTATTTCCCCACAATTCTTGTTAAGATCATATCGACTTTCATTAAAATGAGTTCACATATTTTTAGGTATCATAAAACATTATTAAAAATTTAACTACCAAAACAAGGATCCTTGTTTTGTACAGTGGAATTTATTTTAATTCTAATCACTTAAAATCACTTTCAGTAATACTTATACATATACTATAACATCATTTATTTAATAACAACATTAATATTTATCAAAGCATATAAACCTAGCATACACGGCTATAAAAAATAATTACGTTACTTGGTAATATAAACTTAATACCTACATGAATAGAATAGTAATAATATGTACATTAAGATATCAGTAATATTCATATATTAATTGAAATATTATATCACTTGACGAATATACTCATATTAACTAATACCGACAAATATCAGTATTACTACTAGCCCCCGGCCAGGGCAGTCGGCGACTGCCCGTTCCACGCCCCGCGCGCCTCTCAAGGCCCCCGCACACATCCAGACACCCACACATAGCCGCAAGCGATTTTACGTGCACACATGCTTAAGTGTCGTTTCTTTTTTGCGTAATGTATATATTCTTTGGTATTGTAGAGATGAGGAGAACGAACTCTGTATAAAAAAGTGTCCGTAGAAAAACGCTGAATAAGGGTGGCACCACTGTAGCTAACCGCAAGCCGATAAGAGGTGTAAACTTCCTTTGCCTGCGAACTTGACACCCGCCTTACCTTTCGTCGAACCGCTCCCACCTCCCCTCCCCCCCCCCCGGCCCGGACGCAACTTTTGACTGCTGATTAAGAAAAAATTTTCGGTTCATATGGCTGAAGAACTCGAAAATACATGCACGGAAAAGTACCACATCTCCCATCCTGTCGGTAAGATCAGAATGGGACAGATGGAAGAAATGGGATGTATTTGAAAAAGTTACGACAAAATTTAGTAAAACTATAAAATGATTTTAAACCACAGGTTAGATCCGTATGATTCACTTTTTCCGTTGACCGTATGAGCTCAAATTAAAGCAGATAAATTATCCCTATGCTTAACAATAATAACCTTAGCAAGTAGTACTATGTTATAAAGTTGATAATTTGTACAACAAAATACATAGTTTGCTATTTGTTTGTTATGTACAAACAGAGAATATTTTTTTCTTTTGAACATTTTTCTATACACTATATTATACTGGTTTATATTAACTTTATTTTTAATTTTTTAAGTTATACCTCTTTATATATATTGCAGAATTTATTTAAAGATATATTATGCTGTGGGCGAATATTTCCATATTTTATTACATTTATACATATGACTTATTTAAATTTCAACGTACTGCCTCAAACTTTTACACGTTTTACTATACTCAAATATCTCTAAAAATTTTGTTTTTGTTAACCGTCAATAATATATTTAAACGAGTATTATCAAAATGTAGTTATCACACTGACTCACCACAACTTCCGTCCAAGGGCCCTCGTTGTGGTTTACGGGCTCTGACCACAGGCTGCGCCAGAATGCGACCGTGTCGGCCCGATTCGGTACTGGTCCCGTTCCACTTACCATTGGTCGCTCCAATGATTTATAGAGCCTCTTCTGATCACTCTGGAAGAGACGATTCTGGTTGAACCGTGTCGACCTCTCGGTATATCGCCGAATTCGCTTTCCCCAAGCAGCGATTCTCTGCTTCAGGTCGTCTATGCGCTCCGTCAGTTTTTTGCATTATATCCGGCTGGGACAAACTAACACTTGTCCCAGCAAACGCCATCCTGACGGTGCGCACAATCCTTGGCCTGGTATTGCCTGACCTGAAGCATATCAGTCTGCCGATGAGGGCCCTAGCCTTTGCGATACGTTCTTTAATTCTTGTTCTCCAGGCTGGGATAGCACTACTTTGTCCAGTAGTGCGTCCAGCCGTGGAAAGTTTGGCGCCTATAATACGGCAGACTGCCAGTGCGGTGCCAAAGAGAATTGAGTCCGTATCGCAAAGGTCCCGGCTGGCTTCCAAATAGGTCACCAGCATTGGGTTCAGAGCCCTCACGACAGCCCGATTCCGCTTGCTTTGGGCTATGCGGGGAAGTCGCGGTCGATTTTCGAGAGGCGTACTGCGCGTTTCCATAATCGCCTCTTCCAATTGTGACGGCCCAATATTATTATTAATAATTAAATTCAATATAAAGGGGCGTCAAAAATAGTCTTAAAAGATATATATTAAACAATAAAATTACATTAATAACCATAAAGTTAATATAAATACATTTCAGACATTAGACCGATAACATAGTAAATTAAAGGCAAAATATTGTCTTCCATAATAAATAAATTTATTAAAAATTTGAAAAAATATTTAAAATAAGATAAATAATAGAAATACACGTCAAAAAATATTATAAAATTAAGTTAAATAACGTTTATAAGATAATTAGAAAATTTGTTAAAAATTGTTTAAATCATGGGAGGTGTTCGTGTATAAAAGAAAATTTTTTCTAAGTTGTAGAAGGAGTTCACGTATAGATGAAATTTCTTAAGTTGTTGAAGGAGTTCATGTATTAAAGAAAATTTTCCTAAGTTATGGAAGGTGTTCACGTATAGATGTCTTGTATGGAGGAAGCTGCCGGAGGTACATACCTGCAGTTGTACATATATATGGGGTGGTCGGGAGCCCGACTGCCTGAAGTACTGTAGCACAATGACTAGTCCTATATTAGGGACTTATGATATTAAACTCAATGATACAAAAGCAATACTAAAGAAGGTCTCCATGATGAATTTGCATTACAATAGTAGGGTCGTGGGTTCGAACCCTATATATTAATGACTTATGAAAGTAAGGTCTATGATCCAAAAGCAATACTATAGAAGGTCTCTATGATTAATATGCATTACAATAGTAGGGTCGTGGGTTCGAATCCTATATATACATGACTTATGAAAGTAAGGTCTATGATACAAAAGCAATATTATAGGAGGTCTCCTTGATGCATAAGCATTGTATGGGGTGGTCGGGTGACTGACTGCTCTTAGTACTGTAGCAAAATGACTAGTCCTTATTAGGGACTTGAAAAGGAATATTATGGTGGCGTGTGTGCTGCTTCACGAGCAATTGGTCCGAGGTAAACTTGGACTCGCTAACCGATATGTCCTGGACATATCATCTAAGTGCCGGTGGTAAGCGGGTTTGTTGTAGCAATACGGCTTTCCCGTGGGCATCGCACACCCATACCGTTTGTGGGCGACGTCGTTGCGCATAGCGATGTGTCGTCTATCTTTCGGATTGGGATGATGAGTGTGTTTGGTAGCACTTTTAAGTGTAACAGGCATACTCAACTTCATGTCTTAGTGCATTAGCGCTATGATACGTGGAGTTTTGTTCATTGGCGTCTTAGTAGCGTGCTACTATGATACGTTGGTGATATTTTTTATATAACAACAATACCAACTTTGTTACCAAAGTCGATAGGGATCATGTTGGATGTGTTGTGAGGGGGCGCCATCCGTATGATAGTTGCATTGATGCTTACTGCTACTTGCGGTATTGTGTCTTATGATGGATCTGCGGGTGTGCTGCGCCTGATTCGACGCATTCCTGTGGTTCTGGTCGATGGAGGTATACAATTAACATCTAAGTGCCGGTGGTAAGCGGGTTTATTGTAGCAATACGGCTTTCCCGTGGACATCGCACACCCATACCGTTTGTGGGCGACGTCGTTGCGCATAGCGATGTGTCGTCTATCTTTCGGATTGGGATGATGAGTGTGTTTGGTAGCACTTTTAAGTGTAACAGGCATACTCAACTTCATGTCTTAGTGCATTACCGCCATGATATGTGGAGTTTTGTTCATTGGCGTCTTAGTAGCGTGCTACTATGATACGTTGGTGATATTTTTATATAACAACAATACAAACTTTGTTACCAAAGTCGATAGGGGTCATGTGGGTGTGTTGTGAGGGTGCGCCATCCGTATGATAGTTGCATTGATGCTTACTGCTACTTGCGGTATTGCGTCTTGTGATGGATCTGCGGGTGTGCTGCGCCTGATTCGACGCATTCCCGTGGTTCTGGTCGATGGAGGTATACAATTAACATCTAAGTGCCGGTGGTAAGCGGGTTTGTTGTAGCAATACGGCTTTCCCGTGGACATCGCACACCCATACCGTTTGTGGGCGACGTCGTTGCGCATAGCGATGTGTCGTCTATCTTTCGGTTTGGGATGATGAGCGTGTTTGGTAGCACTTTTAAGTGTAACAGGCATACTCAACTTCATGTCTTAGTGCATTAGCGCTATGATACGTGGAGTTTTGTTCATTGGTGTCTTAGTAGCGTGCTACTATGATACGTTGGTGATATTTTTTATATAACAACAATACCAACTTTGTTACCAAAGTCGATAGGGATCATGTTGGGTGTGTTGTGAGGGGGGCGCCATCCGTATGATAGTTGCATTGATGCTTACTGCTACTTGCGGTATTGTGTCTTGTGATGGATCTGCGGGTGTGCTGCGCCTGATTCGACGCTCTCTTGTGGTTCTGGTCGATGGAGGTATACGGGTGGTGATGTCTGCTGGGATGTATGGGGGACCTTGGAATGGTGTAAGCCCGACGATAGTCGTATTGATGCTTGTTGCGTTCTGCAGCATTGCGTCTCTGCGATGGTTGTTTGGTGGGACGCTATTCTCAATGGCGCTCTCTGCATCTTGGTTTGACTCACACCTAAGTAGCTTTGCCCAAGTCGGGTCCCTTCATTGCGGGGCTGCAGACTGTCTGCCCTCCATGATGTTTTATATAACAACATAATATTATATCTCTGTAACTTTCCCACCTTTGAATGATTGAAGGCAACTTGTTGGTGGGTGAGACAAACATGATCGAAAATGCATTTACTCAACGTCAGTGACACAAACCCTTTCTGATGGCGAATTATTACTCTTATCTTATAACTGCCTTTTGGCTATATCTGCCGTTGTATTGGTTGGTGGAGCATATGTGTCGACCTCATGCGGGTGATAGCTGGCGGGAGGATCTGAGGAGACTCTCAAGGCTGCGGCCGAAAGCCGCACAACGTGGGACCCCATTCCCTTGAGGTGAGCGGTAGACTCATGACACGCTCTGCGGCTAGTAGCCGTGCTGATTATGCAATTGGTGGTGATGCCATACACTTACATCACGTCTGCAGGAGCGGCGGTCTGGGTAGGTGGTGGCGCTCACGGAGGGTTTACGGCCAGTGTGCCTATTTGCCTATACCGTTTGACGTACATTCACTGTGGCTGGATTCGTTCGTATTCTGTTTGGCGTTTACACGTATTGACATGCGCGACTTCGGTCGATGTTTGTGCTTACGCACTAGCAAGGGGCCAAGCCTCTTTTACTGGCTCGCCAGTTATTTTGCTGTGGACTACGGTCCAGTTCCCGAATTAGCTTTCCCTTAGGGGGGAGTGCATCAAAATGGTTGGCACTCACCGTGCACGGCGTGTGTGGGGCCGTATACCTCCCCTACATTTTTTTAAATAAATGTAGGAGAGCGAAGCCCTTGTATCGGGTATTTTGTATAAATATATTTTGAGCCTTTTCCGAGCGGGAAGGGATAATTAATAATGTAAACCTGATGCAAGTGGAATAGGGACGTTTTATTTTCTTAATCTTTCTCGAGCCCTGTCTTCGTGAACGGGGTTCACTAGCTTATAAGGCACTACCAACAGCTTTCAATTGCTCTAGTGAATATTCATTCTTCCAAAAGACACCTAAAAGAACTAAGTTACTAAACAAACACAACGTAAATAAGGGTCCTAACTAAGACGATCACACCAAAATATTTAAACCGGCCTATTAATAAACCTTTTGAAAGATTATTAAGAAAGATCAAAACATATTTTATTTATCCTGGTCACATATATATAAGTTTTATTACAAAGGGGAACTAATTATATTCAATATCATACATATTTTTATTTTCATACAGAGGGGGGGAGATCGTTACACAATGTACCCCTCATTTGCTCTATTTCTAGTTCCTGGGTGAATGTTCCATCATCATTTGATTCAGCAACTACTGGGGTATTCTCGGCGGCATCCACGTGTGCGGGTTGTTCTGCAACTTGTGGCACCGCACCCCCAGTCGTAGCATTTTCATTTGATGAGGGAACAGCCTCACGTCGTAGCCGTTCGAGTTCGGCGCCATCAAATATATTTGAGCGTAAGATATACCGAACTCGGTCTGCCAGGTTTTGCTCGGTGACAGTAATAGACGGCTCCAGCTCAGTAAAAAGACGATGCATCCTAGCCCGATACGCGAAACCTCCAATTTCTCCACCTTTCGCCCTAAAATACGCCCGCAATGCGTTTGTATTCATAGCTCCAGAGTACTCCTGCCTGCATGGTGGTAGCGTGCAATTTGGCATTTTCTAAATAATTTGCATGCGAAATTTGGAAACGATTGTAACGTCAAAATACTTCTCGTGTTGACATTTATACGTGTGAATTGACATGTTAGTGGCATTTTAGTGGCTACACGGGCTCCGCCCACTCCACCGTTCTATTATTTAAGTATTCTATGGTATACACCTATGTACTGTTTACTTATGTAAAAAATAGGGGTAACTCTTTTGACTTACAACTGCTTAATTTTTGTGACAAACTTATGGACATTATGTTATCTCATCTCAATGACAATATTTTTTATTGCTGATGATTTAAATATGCCTGCTATTCAATAGGAAACAAGTCCAGATAATTCGGAGATGACAGCGACGTGATCTTCATGGTTTATTTATTAATACTCTTAATTATTTAGGATTACGACAATACAACTGTGTATATAATGTAATTAAGGTGATTTCAGACCTTGTGTTGTACAATTCTGGCACCTTTGTAATAGCTTGCGACCCACTTATTCCGGAAGATGCTCATCACGAAGCTTTATCTATTCTTATAAAATCAGTAAAGCCAATGAACTACCTATTTTAAATCAAACCAAATACATTTATTCAAAGGGTTTGACTGAACTTAATGTTGAGAATTTGGATAGTGCGGCAAATTTATTTTATAATAAAATATACAAATTCAGAAATTTATATATACCGACTAGAACTATTAAATACTCTCGTTACCCACGCTGTTATAAGCCATCCTTTGTTAAAGATACTACGTAACAAATAGAAATACGATCGTAAGTATAAGACCTATGGTAGAATCTAGGTGGTTGTGAATATTTTTCATTCCTACGTGTTGTGACGGCCCAATATTATTATTAATAATTAAATTCAATATAAAGGGGTGTCAAAAATGTTCTTAAAATATATATTAAGCAATAAAATTACATTAATAAGCATAAAGTTAACATAAATACATTTCAGACATTAAACCAATAACAAAGGCAAAATATTGTCTTTCATAATAAATAAATTTATTTAAAAACTTGTAAAAAATTTTTAAATTATGATAAATAATATAAATACAAGTCGAATATATTATAAAAATAAAGATAAATAACATTTATACGATAATTAGAAAATTTGTTACAAAGTCATGGAAGGAGTTCATGTATAAAAGAAAATTTTCCTAAGTTGTGAAAGGTGTTCATATATAGATGTCTTGTATGGAGGAGCTGCCGGAGATACATATCTGTAGTTGTACATATATATGGGGTGGTCGGGTGCCCGACTGCTTGAAGTACTGCAGCACAATGGCTAGTCCTATATTAGGGACTTATGATAGTAAACTCAATTATACAAAAGCAATACTATATATTAATGACTTATGAAAGTAAGGTCTATGACACAAAAGCAATACTGTAGAAGGTCTCTATGATGAATTAACATTACAATAGTAGAATCGTGGGTTGAAGTCCCACATATTAATGACTTATGAAAGTAAGGTCTATGATACAAAAGCATTATTATAGAAGGTCTCATTGATGCATAAGCATTATATGGGGTGGTCGGGTGACCGACTGCCCTTAGTACTGTAGCAAAATTACTAGTCCTTATTAGGGACTTGAAAAGGAATATTATGGTGGCGTGTATGCTGCTTCACGAGCAATTGATTCGAGGTAAACTTGGACTCGCAAACCGATGTGTACTAGACATATCATCTTAATGCCGGCGGTAAGCGGGTTTGTTGTAGCAATACGGCTTTCCCGTGGACATCGCACACCCATACCGGTTGTGGGCGGCGTCGTAGCGCATAGCCATGCGTCGTCTATCTTTATGATTGGGATGAGTGTGTTTGGTAGCACTTTTAAGTGTAACAGGCATACTCAACTTCATGTCTTAGTGCATTAGCGCTATGATACGTGGAGTTTTGTTCATTGGCGTCTTAGTAGCGTGCTACTATGATACGTTGGTGATAATTTTTAAGTTAACGACAATACAAATTTTTATACCAAAGTCGATAGGAATCATGTGGGTGTGTTGTGAGGGGGCGCCATCCGTATGATAGTTGCATTTATGGTTACTGCTACTTGCTGTATTGCGTCTTCTGATGGATCTGCGGGTGTGCTGCGCCTGATTCGATGCATTCTTGTGGTTCTGGTCGATGGATGTATGCGGGTGATGATGTCTGCTGGGTTATATGGGGGATCTTGGGATGATGTAAGCCCAACGATAGTCATATATATATATATATATATATATATATATATATATATATATATATATATATTATATCTGTAACTTTCCAACCATTGAATGATTGAAGGCAACTTGTTGCTGGGTGAGTCAAACATGATGGAAAATGCATTTACTCATCGTCAGTGACACAACCCTTTCTGATGGGCAATTATTGCTCTTATATTATTACTGCCTTTTTGGCTATATCTGGTGGAGCATATGTCGCATGTGTCGACCTCATGCGGGTGGTAGCTGGAGGGAGGATCTGAGGAGACTCTCAAGGCTGCGGCCGAAAACTGCACAACGTGAGACCCCATTTCTGTGAGACCTATTCTTGAATCACAGTTCTGGAGTCCGCAATATGAGATTTATAAGTTTCATATATTTGGGTATCCAGAAAAGGTTTTTTTAAAGTATCTTGTTTAAAGAGTGCATACGATTTCTCGAAACTATGAAGAGAGGTGCAAACGATATCATTTTCATTATCTGTTCGACGTAATATTAATTACATAAATGTTTTTATCTAAATAAATCTCCGGAGCACTGACCTCTATAAATACAAGTACGCTGGACTGCTATACCATACAAAATGTGTGTGCCAATTTAAAGCACCCCTAACGGTCGTCTTGGAAACTAAAATTGACATAATAAGCCAAATTCTGTTGTCTTATTTAAATTGTCTTTGAATTTTGAATTTTAAACTAAAAAACGAGGGTATTTTATGTTGTTTGATTGTAAGTAATATTAGTTACATAATAAGAATTATTTTTAATAATAATAAGAGTGTGCGTAATCTGTTAAACTCGTTACCAAAAGGGAAGTGGTATAACATTGCATAACTAAGTGAATTGGCAGCTATTATTGAACAAATTAAAACTATTTGATAATATAAATACTTAAAAATTTGTTACTAATCTTAATGTCATACATACCAATATGATTGGCTGTATATTACTGAGTTTTGATAAACAGTAAAAGAGTGTCTGGTGGAGCGACGAGCCTAAGGCTACCGAAGTCCAATTCCCCGGTCGAGCCTTAAAACCTATTACGCGAGATATTAACCAAAGTGGACTGTATATGCGAAATGCTTCTACGTTTACATAAAATGACGACTATAGCACGCGGTTGCCCATACAATGCACTCGCTCTTCCCTTAAACGAACTATTATTTGCCAAATCTATGAAAGGAATCCTGCTTGGTTAGGAGAAAATAAAATTGGAGCGGATTAACTATTAAACACAATTATATCAAGCAGGAACTATTAGGAATGTTCACTCACCGGGGTGTTGCTTCTATGCGGCTTGGGCACTATATTGCTGCGACTTCTGGAAGACACTCTGGGTAGACTCTCTGGGGCCCCAGAGATGTGTCGGGAGAGAGGCGGTGTGGTTCCAACGACGAGCGCGGCGGGAAGAGGGCGCGCGTCGGCCGCGCGTGCCTTTTTATTCCTTCGGTTGAGATGATTGCGTAATATTCTAGAATCATCTTCTTTCCCCTCCCACCCCACCACCCCGATGTGTCGATAGGAGGGTATGAATGATATCGTTTGGAAAGGGATAAACGATTTGGCAAGCCTACCGTCAAATATAAATAAATACGAATGGTTTTCCGCGCAACCATTGTCTATAATAAATATCGATGTTCTTTCCTACCCATATCTGTTAACAAAGTCGCCAACAACAGATGATTATCAAATGTTTATTAATTAACAGGTTTCCAACTGAACCTAGACTAAAATTATGGCTTAAAAGCGTAAATATTGTGAATTGTCGTCGGAAACATAATGATCATATTTGTTCTGAACATTTCACAGACGACTGTTTTATTAGACATGAGAACTGCACCACTTTGAAAAAGTGCAGAATTCCGACAGTATTTTCTGGTAGTGCCAGTACCAGTAAGTACAATAGTATGAGATTATTATTTTGAATGTTTTATTTTTATTTCTTCTTTCCTTATTTTCCTACAAATTCAAGGGCCATAGCCAAGTGTCGAAAGGTTGTCTGATGATGTCGAGCCACGTTGGATGTATGTTAGCGGGTTACGGCTGGAGGAGTTTCCTCTCCCTGTATCGCTGTAGTCGAGGTGGAGTCGTCAGGGAAGAGGAGTTTTTGTATGGCGATTGGCGATGCGATGCCACTCGACTATCCTTCGCGACTTTTGTGAGGCTGCACCATGTAATGCTTCCAAGTGCTCGTCTTTTACTGGCTTTTTTCCCTTCACATATCGAGCTCGGGAAATCCGTAGTGTAGGTAGAGTCAGAGGCCGCGAAGGTCAGTGGGCCTTGTGTTTGTGGTGCGCCTTATCTGAGAAGAAAAACGGGAAAAACTGGAAAGCTTAGGAGAAATGAGCAGTATTTATTACCGGCAGTAGAACCAGAGTGACCAACATCGCCCAACGGATTAGTAAGCTAAAGTGGCAATTGATCGGCCATATAGCTCGAAGAACTGATAACCGATGGGAAAAAAAGGTTCTCGAGTGGCAGCCTCGTACCGGCAGGTGAAGTGTCGGAAGTTCCCCCACTAGATGGAGTGAAAACCTGGTAAGACAAGAATATAATATAATATATAATATATATAATACAGGAATTTGATGGATGCAGGTGGCTCGGGACCATGTTTTGTGGTATTTCTTGGGGGAGGCCTATGTTAAGCAGTGGACTTGTGAAGGGCTTTAATGATGATGAATGATAATGGCATTATATTAATATGATACATAAATAGAATGGATGTTACGGATAGAG